TATAAAATTTCAAAAATTTTAATTATTATGAAGTAATATATATTATTTATTTTAATAATTACACATTATAAAATATTATTTAACTTTTAATGATTAATTAATAAAATTTATCATATATCATCTATAGTATTTTTGAAAAATAATAATTAAATATTAAAATAACTATCAATAATAATTACAATACCATTCAACACGACTACAGTACCCCACTACAATCTCAATTCTCAAACGCAACACTCACCCTTCACCCTCTGCTCCGCATGTTCTGCCAATTTGTCATAAACTCCAACTCCGTAAGTATCCATGTTTTGACTTGATTATTATTTTCAAATGGTTTTATATAGAAATTTGATTTTGGTTTTGGTTTTTTTCTAATGAATTATAAGTGATAATTGTTGATATTGTTGTCTTTATTTTTTTATTATTATCTATATTTTGACACTTTAAAATTAATATTATTCACCCACAATAATAATATAATATGCATTTCAGCTTCTTTAAGCTAAAAGTTTCACAACTGCCTCTCAAAATGTTTGCCTCTTGCTGTGCTTATCTTCTTATATATTGTTACTTGCTAATAAAGAAAATTCTATGGAGGAGTTTTGAAATGCTTTTATTGATTGCTATTTGCTATCAGAATTTCATCTACTTTCCTTAACGTATAATTTCCTTGTACCATTGCCGTGTTATTATTATTATTTTTTAAAATTAACTTTTTTATATTCGGTAACCGTATTAAATTTTAAGTAATTCAGAATCGAATCGCGTCGAACTTCACAAAAAAAGCTCTCTCAATATTTATTTTTTTATTCATAAAATTCAAATTCAAAATTTTATTTAAGCAAAACTAAGTTTTTTCCACTTAAACTAACAAATTATTGATACCATTGCTGTGTTAATGCTTCCAAAGCAACTCAATCTAAAAATGTATGCTAAACTCAACCCTTTCATCATCAAATACCTTAGAGAATTCAAACTGTAAAACAAAAAGTAATAGATGGGTACAACCCAAGGTTAGTAGCACTTGCATATAGTAATTTTAGTTTTACAATGTGTACTTTTCACATGATATCTTTTTGTTATAAATTACTATAAATTTTTCAAACAAAAGAGGGTAAATCTAACTACTCACAATAAAAATTCGCAAACCAAAAGGTAAATTGTGATGATTCAGAAAAAAAATTATTGATAAATGGGTAAATCTAAGCAATTTAAAACGAGAAAATTTTTATTAAGAAAATAATTTCTGCAGTGTAACCTCTTAACACTGGAGTGAAAAGCAATGGGAGTTTCCACAAAATCGTAAAGTTTCAAGATTTTCAAAAGAAATGTCAAGACAAAGACATACCTTCTCCGGCTACACCTATGGCGCTGACGGCAACATGGAGCCGCGGCACAAAGCTGCTCGTACGTTGCTGTCAAGAGATCGCTCATCCGTCCGTCGAGGAAGGGAAGGAGGAAGATGAATCATCAGGGGTAGAGTCCTTTTGTTGGACTGGCCCAAGGAAGTGGCCCAATATTTTCAGGCTTTAGCCCGAGATGTTAATTACAGGCTAGGTATCCAACTATGACACGGGCTACACAAACCCAGATACAATTAAATTCCAGGCAAAACCCTATATCAAGTTCTCGAACTTATCTCAGATTCTCCATTAAGCCCCTAAACTTTCATTAAAGCAAATAAGTGCTTAAATGCATTGATTGGGTCAGATCAATAGCCACTTTCACACTGTGCACTTTGCATCTAATAAATGCATTGCAAACAAGATACCCAAAAGCACTGAATTTTCTTAATCAGACCCATAGACAGATCAAGGGGCGGAATCGAACCATTGAAAAATTAATCTGATGAGCGAAAAAATGAAACGATTCGATAATGTTCGGAAGACGGAGGGAATTGTGGGTTCAAGGTTAGGATTGTGGGGATTCCGGTTGTTGTCGTCGTCGTCGTTGACGGAGATTGTGAGGAGATGGAGCGAACAAGAAGAGTTTTCAGATTTTCATTTACTCCGAAGTCCGAACAAGTTCAACGGTTTAAGTTCGGCGCATTAGATTCAGATTAATGAGCCATGTCCCGCTATTTCCAACCCATCAAGATGTCTTAAAAGGGTTATAACTTTCCGTAAATTCTTTAATTTCAATTACCATCAGCCTCTATGCTCTTGTTATGTGGTCTTATTTTCATGGTGGAATTTCACTATTTCACAACAACAAATTGCTATATAAAGAAGAGTAATGATAGAGAAGATGAAAATTTAAGATGAAAATTTGAGATTAATAATGTAATTCATGTCACAAGTTCCTTTAAAATAAAAGAATTAATTATTAAATAATATAAAATTTATTTTTTTAATATTTTAGATGATATGATTTATACATGTTATTAATTCCAATTTTTTATTCTAAATTTTAGTTGTATTTATCATTATTCATATAAACAATTATAAAAAGTGAAAATCAAAATGTGTAGTTTAATTACTTTTAAATTATCCAAATTATTTATAAAAGTATTTTTAATAAATTCTTTTACATATTAATTTATTAAAAACATTTAAATTATTATTATTATTTTAATATTTTAATTATAAAGAAGATCTTAATTTTTAACTGGACAATGATAAAAACTAAATTTTTTATATAATTTTTTATATAACTTTCATATATTTATCATTAAATGAACGAATACACTCAATGTTATAAATCAAAAATAAATAAATAAAATTAATCATTTAAATAACACTTAAAATAATATAAAAAATAATCAAAAGAGATTATTTCTAAATCAAATTTCTCTTTATCTATTTCTAAATAATTTTAATAATTTAAACTTGTTAGATTGTAAGGACTCTTTATGTTAAAAAGATTGTTTTCAGTTCGATAATTCTTATTTTTGGGAGCTAGAAAAAGAGACTCTTATAAAATTCGTGGCTGAATTCAATTATTAGTTTATTAATTATCAGTTTAATTTTATTTTAATTTAAAATTTTATTTTTTTTAAATGATTTATAAACTTTAAAGAATATTTCAAAATAGTTTACCGTACAAAATTTTTGTTAGATTTAACGGAAAAATGTAGTCTTTTAAGTTTTGAAAAAGTAATATTATAATCCTAATAAAATATGATAACTTAAGAAATATTTTATGAAGGTAAATTAGTTAGAATTTATAATAAACTTGAGCAACTAGCTCAATTCAAATTGAAAAACTTAATAAGTTTAGAATAAGAAGTTTCAAGAGTAAGTTTGTTTCATAAGGTAAATTGTATGCAGTTCATCTTATAAAATTATTTAAATAAAATTATTTAAATGTCTTTAAAAAATAATATAAAAATAAAATTAAAATTAAGAACATTTAAATAATTTTATAAGACAAACTACATATAGTTTGTTCTATGAAATAGTTTTCTAATGAAAATATTTAGAAAGATAAAAGTAAAAAATATTTTTACAATGAATATAAATTTAAGAACTAAAAGATAAAAAAATATATAATTAGAGAACTATATATTTTTTTAAAGGATAAGAAGATTTTTGTTAAAAATTACGAATTAGATAAAATTAAAATAAATATGAAAGATAATAAATAAAATTAAAAAATATAAAAATTAATAAATAATTTGTTAAATTGAACCTAAAATTCGTTGGTGTGAATCGTTTCTGATGGATAAAGATTGGAATGATGGAGCATTTATCATTTTGCAGGGGTTATTGCTTCCGTCTTTCTTTGCATTGCATTGCATTTGCATTTGCATTTGCATAAGAGAAGGTAGAGTAGAGGAGATTGCGATGTTCCAGAAGATTGAGGAGGATATTGTCCGGCGGCCAGCTGGTGGGGGCTGTACAGAAAAAAAGAAGAAGAAAGGACACACAGCTGGAAGCAATGTTGTATGGCAGCCGGCGTTGCTCTCCATGCCTGCTTGCCCTGCAACTGCAACTGCAACTGCAACTGCAACCACCCCAGAGGTGGAAGGCCAGCACAGGCCCACGTGGGCCATTCTATCTTTGTCATTTTTTTATCTCTAGTCTGCCTTTTGGCAACAGGGATTTTCTCAGTGCTGTGCTGCAGAATGCATTCAGAGTTATGGCGGCCCGATCAGAATATTAAAGATTACAAAAAACAATGTCAAAAATTATTATTTTTAGAATTATTAAATTTATTTAATTTAACTGATAAAAATAATTATAATTATAAATTAATAATTAATAACTATATAAGGAAATAAGTAACAAATTAATATACTTATATTTTTAGATATTATTTAAAAATTATAAATTAATAATTTTAACAATTTTTTATTGTAACAATAACCAGAACCCTGTGCTGGCCCGCCATCTCTTGCGCCAGCTAGGGCCGGATGAATGACAAAAGATTGGGCTACCCGTGGTGGTGCCTGAACTATGTCTGACCGTCTGACTGTATGAGATGGATTTTGGACAACTCTGTGCATTTGGGCCTCATGAAAATAAATGGACAACTCCTTCCTTTTGGGATTCGGCCCTTTATTAGTTAGAATAAGAATAAGAATAAGAATTTTGGTAAAACCTTAAGTCTCTAAACTCATCTCAAATTTTGGATTAAACTTTTAAACTTTTATTAAAGTAAATAAACACATAAACTTAGTAATTTAGACAATTTAAACAATTTAACCTCTCTTCTTTACGGTGAACTTAACACCTATTTGTGTGGGTAAATTATTAATATATCATTACCTAGTGGTAGTTATTGATTTTATCCATACAAGTAAAGCACAAACAAACATTGAATCTGCTATAAGGACAAAGATTAAATTGCCTTAAGTCAACAAATTTAGGGGGCCTATTTACTCTTTTAAAAGTTTAGGAGTTTAATTGAAAATCTGTAACAAAGTTTGAGAGCTTAATGTAAGGTTTTATCAAGAATTTCTTACATAAAAATATCTGAGAAAGAGTAAAAATCATACATCTTGATATTTAAATATCATACCTCTCTAACAAATTATTTAAATACACTTAATAAATCTTTTTTATATCTTAATTTATTAAATATATTGTAGTTTTTTTATTATCATTCTTGATATTTAATTATCAAGACATTTTAATTTTTCTTAATTCCAAAATATTTTATAAAATAAATTTTCTAAATATATCTAATGATAGACTATATAAAAAGAATAACCCTCTCTTTGTTTCAAATCCTTCCTCACCCAACTCAAAGTTTTAATATAAAATCTCTAATTTAAAATTTTAAGTTCTTCACTAATTGAAGTAGTGCAAGAAACAATATTTTATAAAATAATTAAGGGGTTGATAAAAATTGTTTTCTTACACATCTCCGATCAATTCTGTTCTCAATGATATTGGTTCCATTATTAGTGTGGCTTTTGTTGACAGATTCGGTATAAACAGCTTATGATTCATCCCCAAATTCATCATTATGGAACTGTATGTCTTGCTTAAAATTAAGCTGAATGAGGCTTTCTATGTGCTAGTTCTGGATAATGGAGACGCAAAGTATAAGGACCTTTTTGCAGTCATTCCTTGATTTGATATGGTAATTCTACCAAGTGGATCCACTTTTTAACAGAGGTCACATGATCTTGTTATTGGTATTGTTTTGACCAGTGTCATCCTGCAGCCTGCTTGTGGTCTAAGAGACTCGTGCCGCACAGCACACACCTCATACCCGGTACAGGGATGTGCCCAAGCAAGTTTGGTTGTAGCTGTTCTCCTGCCAGCTTACATCCTTTCATACTCACACTGGATGGGTCCAGTGCCATGGATCATGAACTCAGCAGTTTACATTTACATAATGCGTTAAAGCTCTTGTTCCACCGGCACATTGCTTTTGTTCACCGGGTTTTGGCGATTAGACTCGTTTTCATCTTTCTCCAAGTACCGGAATCCAAAGTGGTGCCAACTAGAGTAAGGAGTGGGGGCGACATTTGGTATTGCCGTGAAGTGTTGTGATTATTTTTAATTATAATTATATAATGTTTTATCTATGATTCAAAATTATTTTAATGTTTAATTATTTATTTTTAAAAATGTTATAGATAAAATATAATTAATTTTATTAATTATTAATTAAAATTTTAAAAATATTATAAAATATATAATTATTAAAATTATAATATTTAT